GGGGGGGGGGGGAGGGAGGGCAACCGTTTAGGAGGCACTGCTAACCAAAGGGTACAGTGTGTAGTCAAGCTGTTCATTTAGTTCTGATTGTACTGCCACTAAGTAGCAAATACTGAAAATAGTTGTTGGCCACGCTGGGATTATCCGGAGCTGCTAAAATTTTTCTCATGAACCGCTAAATGTTTTGGAAATTTTTAAGATGCAAACCATGAAGGTTTGTTTGGCACTATAGGCCCGCCGATGAGAGGGACACAGTCGAATACTAGCAGTTGTGGGAAAACAGGGAGTGCCAATTTAGATACCCAGATAAGCGATCCTGTATGTGCATTAGCTGTTGTCCTCTCTATGTTTCATCCCTGAACTGAAAACACAGGCGGCAGAGCCGATGCGGAATGGAGTGGGAGTCATCAGAACAGTGCCTCTAAATGTGCGCGCTTAAATTTACATAGTTTTATGCAGATTTGCATGCCGCGGAAGTATTCTCATATTTTAGCGTGTGTGCGCGTGCGATTGTCAATCACTTATTGTCATTTCACTGAATACGGCTGCTCTCTCTCTCTGCCTCTCTGTAATCATCTCCGTCGATATTCGCCTTTCGAATCTATTGCAGTAGGCCGTTGCTTCCAGTAGCGCACTACTACTGACTTGCTGCCTTCCGCACAAATGGTCGTTGAAGATGCAGTGCCACAGTGTTGCGACAAAGCGAAATGCTTTGTCGCTTCGAAAATTGCGCACTTCCATCGCGCATTCGGACCAAAACCCTGTTACTCTGTGTTGTTTGCGCTCTTCCTTGTGATTGTCCGCTTTTGATAACAGTTGTAGGAAGCAGTTTTCAGGAAGAGCTAAGAAGATAGGCGGAGGCTAGGAGAGGCGATCCGTGGGTGGGACTGGGTTACAGGAGCAGCAGCCATCTCTTCAACCAGTGATTCAGGTAACGCGTGATACTGGTCTTCGTGAAATTCTTCCAGACGTCAAGAGGTCAAAATGTCGAAGATGGGAGCAATCAAGTCGGACACCGACGTGGACACCGTCACTGTTCTCCATCGCCGTGGGCCGATCCAGAAGAAGCTGCACACACCAGCCGTAAGTTTACCTTTTTGTAGGATGACGTACAGCTACCTGCTCTGCAGTCCTGCAGTCAGATACCGTGCCTTAAAGCCAGAACAAAAATTGATAAGCTTCGGCCACTTTTTGTTGTCCGCTTCCCATTCCTCCCAACCTGCCAAGCACTTACTTACTGCATGCATAGTTCTAGTCTGGCAGACCTCGCCTATTGCTCTCACTATATTAGCAGCACTTTTTTTTCGCGCACTGAATCTGATGAAAATTATTTGGTATGACGACTTTTTTATCATAATTTTGAATGTCCGATTGGTTTCATATTTTTTTTTCGAGTGATCAGTTTTTTTTTTTAATGAGCAATTAACGGGATGTTTTCCAGGAATTAAGTGACGCTCAGCGACGCGGCGTGCCCATTGAAACATCAAAAAAAGCAACGGCCGGCGCTAATAAGCAGCATCAGGCGATCAAAAATCCAGCAAGGTAGCTGGGAGGGAAATGCAGCTGAGCATTCTTGTTGTGCATTTTAAAAATGTTAAGCAAGAT